GTTTTGGGAAGCAGGAGAAACACTGGAAATCTCCAACAACAGAAGCAACGCTGTTCATTGTAAAGGAGACATTTGGGAGCATAATACGCATATATGAAAAAATTACAAATGTCCACAGCAAAAGAATATTTTCAATGTTTGAGGTCAGTGCACTGTGCTTCTCAAAGACTAACTGGCTTCTCTCATTGGGCCATGATTGATTTGCTCACTCCGCAGGGGAATTTGGGGTGGGGGTTTTTCAGCATCACCTGGGTTTCTCTTCCCAGGTGATGTTCTCAGAATCTTTGCAGTGGAGTCTGGATGAGGAGGCTCCATGGCCAGGCACCCAAGTGGTCCTCACCCAAGTGCTCCCTCACCGTGCAGTAGAACTCAAGGTGGGGCCAGCTCTGGTTTCCCCCTCCAAGACTGGTGTCCCCCCAGGCACTTGCTCCCTGCCCCCATAGCTGTGTCACAAAGTGCACCTCCCTCGCTTCCACTGGCCTCCTGGGAGACCCCACACCCCACCTGCCTAGACCAGCCACCCCAACGTCTTGGTTCTTTGTTTGTTTCATGTGCTATATAAAATTTGATATTTTGCCTATTGATGTGAGGCAGCTAACTATATTAATAAAAAAAACTATCATGTAACACAGAAGAAAGCAAAGGTCAAATGTAGAAATCCTTTTACATTTGACTTTAAACTTCAGAGAATTATCACCCCCTAATTTCTTTGCTATGCCACAATAAAAAGAGTAGATGCTATTCAAAGAGAAATAAACTGCATCCAATTAATTAGAAATAGTGGGAAATATCTCTTACATTTACAAATCCTTTGACTTCTGCACAAGATGCTTGTTTATTCATAGAGGGAAAAGATTTACATGTTTAGTAGAGAAATGCTCTCATGTGATTAAAAAGCAGGAGATGTAGCCTATTGTTTTTCCTTCCGTGGGCTGACTTATCTGTCGGAAGCGCTTGAATAACATAGGTTTGATCTGCTTGGATTCGCTTAAAGATTTCCCTGTACACCAACAACAATGGTATGTTATGAATCAGAACAGTTCAATGCTGTAAGTGCCTTTTTGCTTCCTTATGATTTTCTTAATGACATTTTCTTTTGCCTAATTGGCTGTGTTCTAAGAATACAGTATATAATACACACAACAAACAGAAGATGGGCTAATTGGCTAATTACGTTTTCCCTAAGGCTGCAGGTCAACAGTAGGTGATTAGTATTTCAGATTTGGGGGGAACAAATATATAATATATATGAATTTTCAACTGTGTGGGGCTGGTGTTCAAACTCCTGCATTGGTTAAGAAAGGACAACTGTAATGTGATAAAGGTATGGACTATTTTTTAAAACTTTTATCACTTCTATAGTTTGAAAATAGAAGTACCCTTCTTTCTCATATGCAATAGGAGTTCGTGTCTGCTAAGATAAATTCTTTTATACTCTTTTCGACAGTGTGATTAAATACTATATTCATGGGGTTAGGTTTAAAAATCCAACTACTGATTCTCCTATATCAACGGGATCAATTGATCACACCGATGCCTATTACCGCTTCAAATCACCAACGCTGCAGAGCTCT